GGATGCCCTCGTCTGTGCCGCAGACTGTGACAGAGAGGCCCTGTCCTCCTGAGTCCCCACAAACAGATACTGTAGTCACCAGGGAGGCGAGAGGTACCAGGCAGTCTGGGGCTGAGAGGAAGAACTGAATAACCAGTCTGGGGGAATTTAGAAGTATTTTCAAAGGATGAACTTGCTGTTCTTGTCTCAGCCGTGCACAGGGGATGTGACAGCCAGAGACAGGGTGAGGCTGAGGTCCAGGCTGGTTGGGGTGAGGTTGGGAGGGGAGACTGTTCCATGCAGAGGGAGCAGTATGTGCAAAGCTGGGGTGTCTTATTCATTTTTGTAGCTGTTTTTGGTCTAGAACTGTTAAAGCCATCCATGCCCTACTCTTGGGAAAGAGGAATTCAGATAAAATCTCATCCCAGAGAATTATGCTGTCTCGAATCCATTTCAGTGACCCAGCTGGTGGCTCCATTACCAATGCTTCATTGGGCTGGCGACAGCAAATCCTCTCCAGGGAATGCTTGCTCAGCAAATTTTCAGAGCCCACATCACCAGGAAAGACTCCTTCCTGCTTATGTGCTCTTTATTTTTTATTCAGCAAATCTGTGAAACAAAGAGAAAAATGAGGAGATCTGTTTTATGGTCCATCAATAGCTCCAATAAAAGAAAAAAAATCTTTTGGTGGTCCCGGGTTTTGAACTCGGGTCTTCAGATGTCTAGCCAGGTGCTCTCACTGCTAAACCGTGTCTTCAGCTCTGGTTTGTGTTTTAGAGTCTCATGGTACACCAAGCATCATTTCCTCATAATCTTAGCCCGACCATTCCTATGTCAAGGAAGACGTAAGAAAATATAGTGCCAGTGGGTTGAAGGTACAGCTCAGATGATAGAGCACCTGCCAGTAAGCATGCAACATCAAATAGGGAGTTCCAGTTCTGGTCTTGAATAGGAAAAAAAAAATCTAGCCCTGTGTGGCCTAAGGAAGAATCTGCTGCTGGGCTACGGTGACTTTTCCCTCCAAAGTTTTTTAGCTTCCTGGTTTATGCAGCATCTGCTGATAGGGGCTGTCTCTCCAGATTCCTTGATTCAGTATTTACATTGAATAACCATACAGAATGCCAGGCAAGGGGCTTCAGAAATGAGTGTAATGTAGACTGACAAGTGAATCCCCTCCCCCTGCATCAGCCTTCTAGTTAGTGCTGTATTAGGGACTGGGAAGTATCAGCACTGGAGCTAAAGTCTCCTCAGACCCTGCACAGCTGTCACTAAATCAATACCTCCTGCTCTGTGGATGAATTGGCACTCGTCACATAAATGCAAGGGGAAGGAAATCAGCAACTTTGGGACCTTGTGGGCACCAAAACTTGCAGATCTGCGGTGGTTAACTCCTAGTGAAGGCCCCAGGGGGCAAGGGGAATGGAATAGGGAACTCTATCCCCACACCCCAAGGTTAAGTGAGGAATGAGGATTATAGAGTATGTCCTTCTTCAGGCATAATAAACTCTCGTCAGCACATGGCGGGGTGGTGGTGGTGGTGGTGCTGGGGCTGGTGCTGGTGCTGGTGAGTTCAGGTGACAGGACTCTTGGCCTTGTAATGCATTTGTAGAATTCCTACTTGTGCAGACTCAGTGTGATCCTGTTCCAGCTGGCACAATGCCATGCCTTACCCAGGGGGGTGGCAACTCTTTGTCTGCCAGAGAACAGGATGAAGAGATCCCATCTGTCTGCTCGCACATGCGCAGTGTGGCCAATAGGTATGTGCAGTTTTGTTCCCTGGTGTCTGGGCATGGGTTCCAGGAGATCCTTTGGGTAGCAGAATCCTCAAGGTGCTCAAGAGTCTCATTTAAATAGGCCAAGAATTTGCATATCCCCTATGAACATCCTCTGGGATACTCTAAATGAGATGTAAATGCTTGCAAATACTTGTTGAACTGTATTATTCAGGGAATAATGTCAAGAAAAATAATGTCTGTACATATTCAGGATAGGCACATTTTTCCCCCCCGCAACAAGTATTTTGGATTCACAGTTGGTTCTATCCATGGGAATAGAACTTGGGAATTAGGGCGGTCTGCATTGGGTCTAAGTGGAGGACGAGCCTGGGTCAGGGTCAGGGAGGCTCTGCACATGGAGTTCCATCCCTGGCACAATGAATATGGTTTGTTTCTTCAGCAGGAGTTCACTAGCTGGAATTCTTTACACACCCTTCTTTGATTGATAGACAAGAAAATTTCCTGCCCCTCTCACCTTAATCCTTGGAGAGAATTGCTCCCTTTCTCTTTTGTAGAGGGAATTGAAGGGGGCATGTGATGCCAGCCCTCTCTGTCAGTCGTAGGCCAGAGTGGGGAAGGGAGGACACCAAGGCAGGCCTGATCATACAGGACTCAGAACCTGGAAAATCATCTTGGACTAAGGCAGTTCTGATGGGAAAACGGCAACCAGGCTGGAGACTGAGAATCTCTGTCTGGCTCAGGGGGGCAGGAGGAGGGATAGGCCATGTAACCATGGCTGGCTGTGGTGCCAGCGCTGGGCCTTCTGGCTCACGCAGAATACTTGATGGACATGGAAGCTCTGCTCTTTGGACTGCCAGATTGTCCGGTCCACGGCACTGAGGTTAGCCTACTGGCATAGGGCATTGGGAAGGAAGCTTTTCCTGAAGCAATGGAGAGGGCCTCATATGCAAGGTGCAGACCTGTTCATTAAGGCTGGCAGAAGACCCAGTGTGGAGGTGCAGTCTCTTATGTCCTGTGTGATGATAGTCTGTGTAGATGATACAGCTGAAAAATTCCTCTTAGATTGCACCCATTGAGCATTCCTTAATAGTGAATCCCGGCCTGACTTTCCATCCATCTATGACAATAAACTCTATACTTGAAACATTCTGGTAACCATGATGTGTATTGGTCCACGAGGGTTTTACATTTAAGAGTCTGAGGAATGCTGTTTTTTGTTTTCAGGCAGTAAGCTTATATGCTACAGGGTAGCAGGGCCTTGGCCAGCATCTGAGCCAGACAGGGCTGTGGCCAATGCAGAATGACACTGATTAAAACCCTATTTCCTCCTTCCCTAATGTCTTCTGCAGTGATAAACATGTGTCTAAAGGGAATAGGACCTGCCCAAGTAAAATAGTAATTGTGATTAAAGTTTTCCTTCCTTCAGGAAAATAGACTCCTGGCTGGCTAGACAGATGTCAATATTTGAAAATGGTAGGTGCCCCTCTCCCCCTGGGTTGGCTGAACCTCTGTCTTTGGCCTTGGCCCCATTTTCATAGCCATGTTATCAGGTTGATAATGACTTGTGACATTTATTTGTGTCTAAGGAAATACTATTGGGGCAAACAAGAGATTGGAAAATTACTTTTATGTCTAGAAAGTTTCTTTGTGTATTGTTTTTTTTTTGTGTGTGGTATTGATGTTTGAGCTCAGGGCCTTATGCTTGCTAGCTATAGCTAGCTAGCTATCTCTAACACTTGAGTTCAGCCCCCAAATATGTATATATATATATATATATATATATATATATATGTATGTATGTATGTATATATGGTTTTACTTTTATGTATAGGTTGGCCTGGACTACAATCCTCTTTGTTCTGCTGCGTCCTATGTAACTGGTATGAAAAGTACACACCACCATGCCATCTTTTATTGGTTGAAATGAAGTCTTGTGAGATATTTGCTTGAGTTTACCTCAGACTGTGATTTTCCGGATCTCATCTCTCAGGTAACTAGGAGTTCAGGTGTGAGCCACTGTGTCCAACTGTGCAGACCTTCTAAAGGATCAACATCTATTCTCATCATGGTCCCTCCCTTCCCCTCTGCATTTAATCTGGGAGTCCTCTGGGCCCTGTGGGTCCTGTATTATGGGATCTGCCTCTGTTTCCTCTATGGTGTTCCTCCTTTCGCTCCAGTCAGCCTCAGGTTTGGCAATCACTGCAGTTGTCTCCTTAAATACATCCTTGGGTGCCTCGCTTTTGCTTTCTCTCTGTCCACCCATCTCCCCCATCTGCAGCATTCTTCTGGTTGTTGCAAATGCCTATGTGATCTACCCATGTGGCTTTCCACCCCTCAGTGGTTCCCGTGGCATCTATGATAAGACACAGGCTGCTCTGGGCATCCCACCTCCAACCCCTGTCTCCTCCTCCTCCAGGCTTTGCTCACACTTTGGTCTAGATTTCTATGTCTCTGTACTTTCTGGTTCCTGCCAGGCTGGGTTTAGCTCTTTGCTGCTGGAACTCAAGCTGGTCCAAATAGAGCATCCCTTTCTCACTGATGGCCAATAGCAGTAGGCATTGCAATTCTTTTTTTTTTTTTTGTCGGTCGTGGGGCTGGAACTCTGGGCCTGGGCGCTGTCCCTCAGCTCTTCAGCTCAAGGTCAGCACTCTACCACTTGAGCCACAGTGCCACTTACAGTTTTCTTGTGGTTTATTGGAGATATAAGAGTCTCATAGACTTTCCCGTCCGGGCTGGCTTTGAACCGTGATTCTAGATCTCAGCCTCCTAAGTAGCTACGATTATAGCCACCAGTGCCCGGCAGGCATTGTAATTCTGTAGGAAGCAGACTCCCTTTGGAGCAGGCCCTCACCCTCTATGTACCACCTCCCCAGTGCCTAAGAGGGAGAGGCTCCATCAATGTCTGTGAATACATGAATGAATGAATAAATAAAAAAGACTTTCTTATAATAAGAAATGATGTGCCTTGCCTTGTTCTTCATGTCCTTTCCTTCCCACGCTTCAGCTCATGGAGCGGCGTGGTACCAAAGAGCTATGTTGACAAATTCAGACTGTGGGAATGGGAGCTGGGCCTTTTTGGTGAAATGTGATGGAATTGAGGTGCGAATGGAGCGTGTGCTTATGAATCCATTCCTTGACTTGCAGGCTGGAAGAGGTGTATGTGAACACTTGAGTGCATGATGGGATGGGAACTAGGTGGCAGGTTTTTTGACATGGCCTGACAGAAAGAGTATTCTCTGTGCTGTAGTTTTCATCTTTTCTTTCTCTTTTTGTGAATTTCAGATTACTCCCAAATAATAAAAGAAAGAAGCTGAAAGAAGAAAAGCCGGAGGACCAGCTTGGCCTTTCCCCAGTGGTCCCACACTAGGTAAGTTGTCCTCAATCTCTGCTTCAAGTCTGGTGTTTTGGTAAACCTTGGGGTGCACTGAGAGTGAGTCAGGGCCAAGAGGAGCCCTGCCTTCTGTCTCAGCACCCTCAGCAGGCTGTTTCACATGCAGCCAGGCTCAGAGGAAGGCACCAAGTACCTGCCAGGGATGGAGCAGTTAGCAGGTTTGTTTAGGGACTGGGGAATGAGATGCCGGATATAATGTGCAATCAGAGCACTGGCTCTTTTTTTTTTTTTTAGCACATTTCCTTGCCATTGGCAAAGTTCACGGAGAGCCAAATTGGTGAACTTGAAGTCTCAAGAACAGGTAGGTCATGTAAGGAGACGGTTGAGAGAGTTGGGGCAGCCAGGGACCTTCATCCTGTACACAAGTCCTTGAACTTGGCTGTGGGATGCTCAGGTGTCAATCAAGGGGGTGGGTGGACCCTCCTCCTTCCTTAGGTAGAGCTGGTGGTGTAGCTGTGTCACCTGGTCACCTCTCTGTTTCAGACTGAAGTGTTTTTTTCTTTATGTGTGCTAATAGTCCCCTGCCAGATTGCAAATTGCTACTAAGTTCTGCTAACTATGGAGGCCCATGGAGTCTTGGGTGACTTTGCAGGCTTGTTATCTTGCATTGCCTCTTTCTGGTTGACTTTAGGGTTCATTCTTAGAGGCAAACAACAAACCACTTCATTTGGGTGCCTGAGAGATCCTCCTTGCCATGCACTGCCCCCCCTCTCCTCACTCCCTCCCCCGCCTCAGCTTATGTTGGTTAGAAAGAGGTTTGGCTCTTTTCTGTGTTGTTGTTTATGTTTTTAAACAATTCAAGAGCCATGGAAGGGGAAGGAAAGATATATATTTTTAAAGCTTACAGTCCTAGAATATTTTGTTTTCTCTAGAGATTTTTAACTTCCTTGTGTTATAGACTTTCTTTCAGAGACTTAGCCAAAATACGTACGTATATTTCTGTTTGGAGAACCCTGCCTGTGTCTTCCTGCTGTTACCAGAAGTAGTTTTGCAGAATCCAGCCAGGCTTCTCTTTCTCTCTCTCTCTCTCTCTCTCTCTCTCTCTCTCTCTCTCCCCCTCTCCCTGTGTGTGTGTGTGTGTGTGTGTGTGTGTGTGTGTTTCTCAGTTCTCTTTTCCCAGTGCTCTGGGAGAGAGGCACTCTCTAGCAGCTCATCCTCCCTCACCCCCAGGGGGATTCCAGCTTCATTTGCTCAGGTGGCCCCTGGGCTCTGGAACCTGAGTTCCCACTTGGCTATTGCATAAAGACCATTTGTTACCTGAGGCTTGAGGGCTGGTGCCTGTTTTTGAAGAGATCCCTGAAGTTGGAAAAAGGGTAAAAGGGGCATGTCTCTTCTCTCTGTGATATAATAACCCTGGTTTCTTGTAAAGATTGTAGAAAAAATTCGCATTCAGGGATTAGCTGACACTGGTTCAAATATAGAGTCCACAACTGCGTCTAAGTTTTTTTTTTCCTCCTAAGTTTATATTTAGTTTTATTCTCTGTGATACATGTCAAACCTTTCACAGAAATATATAAACAATAGCCTCGGGCTGGGAAGGTGGCTCAGTGGTAGAGCGCTTGCCTTGCATGCTTGAGGCCCTGGGTTCGATTCCTCAGCACCACATAAGCAGAAAAGAAAAGCCGGAAGTGGTGCTGTGGCTCAAGTCGTAGAGTGCTAGCCTTGAGCTGAAGAGCTGAGGGACAGCGCCCAGGCCCAGAGTTCAGGCCCCACTACCGGACCCAAAAAAACCCAAAAAACAATAGCCTCTCCTGTTCTTGAATGTCCCTGATTGGTGTATCTATACTGTGAACTTTGAACCAAATGGGAAGTCCACTTTCCTCTTCTGTGTATGTGGTCAGGGACAGGAGAGAAGTTTTCCTGGGGTCACCAGATTGGCTTGACCATGTGGACTAAAGCTGGATGGTGTACACAAAAGCATTCTCTCTTCCAAAAAGAGCTCTTTCCTGTGGAGGGGGGGGGGCGCATGGTCTTCTACACCTGAAGACAGAGACTAACTTGAGGGTGGGGTGGAGAGTGTCCCCCAGGGCTCAAGAAAAGAGATCCAATTTCTCATCAAGGAAACAGAACAGTGAGCCACGCATAGAGGCAAGTCTGCTCTATTTCTGAATGATTTGGGGGCCCTGGATGAGATCCAACTCCAAGGAACAGAGGAAAATAAAAATAGGATCACTTGTAATACATGCTCTTACCTGTAGGCCCTGGGGTCTCCTGAGGGACCTGTGACCTTCACTTTCTTCTATCCCTGGGCCTCTGTTCACCTGGGAGTCAGGACAATACAAAGTGGGCTATAATAATGTCACTAGACAGAGGTGAGGTTTAGTGAAGCTCTCCTTTAAATATAGGAACTCTTCACTTAGGGTCCTTGACTTCTATCACAGAATAAGAATTACTGGACAAGTCACAATGGTAAAAAAACGTGGCAGAGCTTTATTAAGTAAATAATGAAACAGACAGACAAAAAAAAGCAGACAAACAAGGGAAGGGGCAGAGTATGGGTGCTCTCATAGGGACACAAAGACACAGACACACACAGATGCAGACACACACAAGGAGACACCCAGAGAGACACTCAGCTCCTTGGGCTGTTGGGTATTTATAGGGTAAAGGCAGCGGGTCTGGCTTTAAGTTATGCAAAACTAGGTGCTTTGCTTTAACTACACCTGGTGTTATTCTGAGTTTCCAGGTAAGAATGCATCTTGCCATAAAAACAGATCCTTATCCTTGAACCAAGGAGAGCCCTTCTATCTGCATTTTGGGGCATCCTGTCAGGCACTTGTGAATTCTTGGTTGAGAAATGCATCCCTCAGGAAAGAATGCATTCAGTTGCCTCTCTTTGAAGCAAAGAAAGCATTTCTACGTTTCTATATACCATATTTCTGAGTTGCTTACACCAGGCTTCAGTTTCCTTAAGTTATCCTGCTTCATTTCCCCCCAGAATGACTTTTGTTCCCTTAATTTTAAGGAAAGTACATGAAGGAATATCTCCTGTATTTGCTGTTAGCTGACTGTACCTCATTTTTCCTAGTCTATTTGGCTTCAATAGAAGATGAGCTTATAGCTGGGTGTGGTGAGTCATGCCTGCCATCCTCACTATTCTGGAGGTAGGGACCAGGAGGATTGAAATTTGAGGTCACCCAGGGCAATAAGTTCACGAGACCCCATCCCAACTGAGAAAAATACCCAGAACCTCACAATAAATGCCTGTTCTCCCAGCTCTGTGGGAAGTGTAAAGAGGAGTATCATAATTGAGGCAGCCCTGGGCAGAAATTCGAGACCTTATTTGAGAAATAGGGGCAAGTGGTCGAATGCTCACCTTGCAAATGAGAGGCCCTGAATTCAAACCCCAGTGCTGCCAAGGAAAAGAGATGAGGTGCTTGGGTGTACACCTCTTTTGGTCCTGTTTGCCATGGGGTAAAGAGGCATTGGCTGCCCTCAGCTCTGCTAGGTGGCCCCCTTGCCAAGGGCACCCAGGCTTGCTGGGACACGGATGGCTTTGCTCACAGGTGGCACAAAGCTGACAGCTGTTGTGAACAAACACTGTGTGTGGCAGGCTGCCATCCCAGCTTGCTCATGGGGGCTCAGCAACAGCTGTGACATGCAGCTTTGTGGTGGCTCTGAGCTCCTGTTACCTTTTGCATTTTTCAAAAGCCAACATTTCGATGTCTGAAGCATTGGCACAGCTTGCTGTGGGGTTAGCCTGCTCAGTGCACAGCCATCTTCCGGTACCAGTAGTGCTAAGCATTGCCGAAAGAGAGCCTGGGCGACAGTGAAGGAAGACTTTGATCCTTGAGAGCATGAAGAAGAGGAGCCTGGAATCTGCTCTGAATTCTAAGACCTGGGAATGGCTTGTGGAGGGCTATCAGATGTTGGAAGTGGGTCGTTTTCTGCCCAGACTGATTAATGTTTAAGTTCTAAGAGTGGATCTCCATAATGAGGGTGGCATGTGCCAGAAAGTAACTATGGGGTTCCTTGTGCCTCATGCTGGCCATACTCTCAAAGACAACAAGTGGAAGTATTTGATTTTAGGTATTCATAGCCGTGTGTGTGTGTGTGTGTGTGTGTGTGTGTGTGTGTGTGTGGTGTGTGTGTGTGTGTGTGTGTGTGTGTGTGTGTGTGTGTGTGTGTGGTGTCAGGCCTAGACTGGGGCTGGAACTCAGGGTCTGGCTGCTGTCCCTTAACTTCCCCCTCTACCCCTTCACTGCCCAATGGTCATGTTCTCCCACTTTTGGCTTTTTGCTGGTTCATTGGAGATAAAAATCACATCGACTTTTCTGCCCTTTTTGGTTTTGAATGGTGATCCTCAGATGTGAGCCTCCTGAATAGCTGAGATTACAGGAGTGAGCCACTGGTGTTACCCATCTCATCAGCCTATTTCTCGCAGATGTAGGCTAGCTAGATTCCTGATTACAAAGCCGGATACTGGATGAGAACATCACTCTGTCCCTGTTGCTTGAGCTCCAGATGTCATTCATGATATAAATGGCAGCAACAACATGGAAAAGTTTGCATTCCAACTTGACAATTCATATCTAAGAGACTCTGGAATAGCTGCAGTGTTTTAGCAGGGTATCAGAGCATGCAGGTTTCAAGCATGATCTGTTAGAAGAAATATAAGCACAAATATCTGTGACAAAGAGACGAAATGAATCTCAAGGCTTTTAAAGAGACAAAGGACAAAGAGTGAACCAATGCAATAGTGATACTCAAAAGATAATACGTTGGAAATGAACTTTACAAATTGGGAGGGTAGCTGGTGGGAGGGAAAGTGGGAGAAAAAAATGAGGGAGGGGATAACAATGTTCAACAAGAAATATACTTATTACCTCACATATGTAACTGTAACCCTATTGTACATCACCTTGACAATACAATTAAATTTTAAAAAGTACACCTTTTAAAACATTACCAGGACTATGTGATGTGCAAAAAATTTTTTTTAAAAAAAGTCCTCCTTTTGTACTTTGAAAGTCTTT